TCATACAAAGGAAACCAAGAATCAAAAAACCAAAAGAAAAATCAGACAAGCAAGGAAAGGAAGGATTAGAAGACAAGGGCAGTTAGAGAAAGACAACAGGAAATCTTCTTGGTCTTCACTGTGGGCATTGGAATTAATCTCTCTGAAAACCTGCAAGTCACTCAGCCTCTTTCTTGAGAAAGAGGCCTCAAGATGCAAGTGCAGCCCTAAAGTCTTACACTAGACAGTGGAGTTGTGGGAGTTCATTATAAAAATAGTCATCAGCTCTCAGCAACTCCATTATGTGACCTCCCAAAGATATAAAACATCTGAGGCCCCTTTCTCAAGCTCACCCTTCTAAGAGAATCTAACAGATTCACTTTTCCCTTTTTCTTCATATTCCTCACACACAAAATTCTCTCCTAGGTGATTGAATTAGATACTTGTTGTCAAACCAAGTCATAGTTTCAAAAACACTGACTAGAAACATGTGAAAAGACCACTATCTTGCAGGAGACAATGACCTGAAAGTCTAAATGCAACTGATGAAGACACTCTACATCACTATGTTCCCGGGAGTTACAAATGAATAATGACATTTTCATAAGGGAACTATAAGCCATTCTACATAAGCATCATGGCTCTACCTGTACATATTTTTAGGAAATACTTTATTACTGGAGGATTGGCATTGCCTTTCAGAACAGGGATACCAGGATCAAAGGAAACATAGCACAGACCTTGGCACCAGGCCTGAAATCAAAACATTACCCAGCCAAGCACACACTGATCCACTGATTTTCCTCATTCAAATCCAGCCCTTTTGTCATCCAGCTTTGCATTCACAAACCTTTTTTGCATCATGGATGATATGCAAATTCTGACTGAAGAATATCTGTAGCCACAGGGAAAAGAGCATTTCTTTCAGTCTCAGCTCCGGGAAACATAAATTTAGCCAAGTGTTTATCTTAGCAGATGTGCACCTTCAAGGCATGGATGAGAACTGCTCTCCCACTCTGGTAATAATAAGACATTTTCTGATGTTTCACACGGAATCATCAAAGTTGGAAGGCGCCTTCAAGGTCATCTAGTCCAGACCAGCACCACTACAATTACCCTTAAACCATAATTCCCAGTTGCTACATCTTGAACACTTCCAGAGACGACAACTCCACCACATCACTGGCAAGTAATTGTAATATCCAACCACTCTTTCAGAGGAAAAAAAAATCAAATATATGATCTGAACTTCCCCCTAGAGCAACTTAAGGCCATTTCATCCTTTCTTTTCAGTCATAGCAGAAGAGACCAAGCCCCACCTCACTACAACCTCCTCTGAAGAGTTATAAGAGAGGCATGAGGTCCTCCCTGAGGTTGCTCTGGTATTCCCATTTTCCTCATAAGCCTCACCAGCTTTTATTTGTTTGCAGGATTCCCAGGYACAATGAGGTCCAGCTCTACTCCTTCACGAGAAACGAACAAACAAATAAAACACAAAATGATTGAGAAACTGTCAGAAGTGCATGAACCATCGATTCACATTTCTGATAGAGTCAACTGTAGTAGGTTGTGTTGGTTTTGCTTGGCCCAATTTTTGGAAGTGGGGGGGCCGAAAAGATGGCTCCTGTGAGAAGCTTCTGGAGGCTTCCACCATGTCCAGCAGAGCCAATTGCTGTTGGCTCTGAGGATGATGGACACGCCACTGACCAAACCTGGGCCAATTGAAGACGGTGGTTACACCTCTGTGAAAACATATTTAAGAAGAAATCAAAACAAGGGAAGTCACAGTAGTTTTGCCAGTGGAGGAGGCTGAGAAATATGTGAGGGA